AGTCTAAACTTTCATATAGTGTAGCTTAAGAACCATGGAGTTCTTGTGTATCGCTCCCGTTCCTTGACTAGAAGACATGATTAAGTATGTAAGTTCTTGTTCTCCTCCCTTCCTTACAGCACCTGGAGAAAGCCAGAAGGTGCTCAGACAACAACTCATCAACAAATTGATAGAAGATAATAAATTGACGAGAAGAAGGAAAAAGAAGTGACTACACGTTAAAAGAGTCAAGTGCATTGATAAATTATTACAGGTTAAAAGAGTCAAATGCATTGATAAATGATTACAGGTTAAAAGAGTCAAACAGGATGATCTAATTATGATTTATGAGAAATTCAAAAAAATTTAGTTGGTTTACAAAAATGCTAAACTAGTCACTTAATCAAAGGAAAAGAAAATGTTAAACAGAACCTACAGCCCTGCTATATTTCTTAGAGAACTGCAGGATGAGCTTTTCCATTGTTCAAGCACATGACAGATATGCTTTGCAGTATGCTCATTCCAAGGCTAATTAATAACTATAGGGTAAAAACAAAGCTGGATATTGTCTTTGATTAAAAGAAAATGAGATTACCATCTTGACGACTTGACCTGCCCAGATTCAGCCCAGCCGCCTATTTGCCACCTAGAATTAACGGCAGAAGATTACAGAGAAGCTGATGATTATTCAAAGAATTCTTCAAATTGAAACCTCACATATTATCAAAATGTAAGTTACTTTTTATTACAAGCCCACCCGGTCCTGGTCCATTCCAATAGCTAGCCTAGCTCGGTCTGCATTGATTTTGGGCGACAATCAGGACCAGCCCAGCCTGCCTGGGACAATTTTGGTCCCCATTTTCTGTGCATGTTAGGTCAGTCTCCTGGGCCAACCAGTCTCAGTTTCCAGGTCTAGTCAACAAGGAATATCTAATTTGTTCCCATGTGTATGGTAGAGATAGTAGGTTACCTCCCTTTAAATCAAAACATAATCAAAGTACCTCCTCATAGATGTAAAGACTTTGCTAAATACTCCCTTTCTGCTAAATCAACCTAAACTTTAGTAGTTGAATGATAAAACTATGCTTACAGTCACTTTAGTAGTAGTAAATAAGTCATTTGACACGATCACAGAAGTATTGCTTAAACAACATTAAATCAAAGACCTGAATTATGCACTGGGAGAGCTCGACGACTCCAATTGCAGGCCTTAGCCAACCATGTCCCTTAGCAGTGCATGGCATAGTTGCCATCTGCATGAACAATAAACAAGATGACCAACTCCAAGTCACAGTTGAAAAAGAGGGTAGATAAGAAACCAAAAGTTAAAGTTTAAAGTAAACTTATATTAGCCAACACATACTGAACAGTAGCAAATCATATTCATGTACAAAAAAAAAAAAAAGATGGCTGATTGCATTAACATCAGACAATCTCAACCTAAAAGAAAAGTTGTTTGACAATATAAGTTCAAAACTACATCTATAAGATATCAACTAAACTATCTAGAAAAAAAAAAACTAAACTGTTAGAACACATATACTGATTAAAAAAAATCTTTCAAACGGTCGAAATAGCCTACAAATCACCACCGTATAATGTAACTTATCCCATCATAGCACTATAAATGGTGGGATAAATCATTTCGAGACTAACTAATACCCCTAACCAAATGCATGTAATCCCTTATCCCTTATACCAAACAACCCCTTAGTATTCAAGTTCTTGTTTTGATAAGTCTCCCCAGAATGAATACTAACGTACAATTATAAACGGCAGAATAATATATGAAAAACAACAAGATTATTCCATTCACATTATTCAGAGAGAAGTGTCACAAGTACATCTTCTGCCTCAAGTGTTAGTCATAGTATTCTCAAGATTTAGCGCCAGTAAATAGAAAAGTTCACAATCATTTTAGAGAAGAAGAGTAAACTGAACTAGAAGAATAACTCAAACAAGAAGAGTAACTCGAAGAAAACAAACAACTCACTGAATAAAAGAAGAAAATAAGAATCAACTCGCGAAAAAGGAGGCATACGTAAGATTATAGTAAACAGAAAACATCGATTCATTTTGACAAGAATGGAAGAATATATGGTGCTACTATTAGAACTTATCTTCTTGAAAGATCTCAAGTTTCCCAAATTTCAAACAAAAATAGAACTATCATTGTTTCTACCTTTTATGAGCAACACCGTAGGAGGTAATTTGAATCAGTTTGAGTTAATTAGATTGTAAAATATAATTGATTGCTTAGACATACACAATACACTGATATGATCTATTTATATTAGATAACTATTCAATGGAGTGATTGAAATTGCTAATTTATTCTAGTTAGATATAAATCTGGTAGGAATTAGTGGCACGTTACTACGCGCGTGGATCAGATTTAACAACTTCAATCACTTTTCCCGCCTTCTCTGTTAGCCTTAAAAGTTGAACAATAGTTCACTTGTTATTAAATATGGATTTCTCAAGTTTAATACAACTCGCTATCTTCTATCAGAACATTATTTTAGGCTCATTGAGTTG